TTTATTTTTTGAACCTCAAGTTGTATCATTATTGTTGTTATCAAGTTTGCTTCTCCGCTGAGTGGCTGCATTCTGCTTAGTTACAATGGTATATATTTCAGAAAAGAACAGGGAGGGCAAGAGAGATTTGTTTCTTTTTACGATGGAGTAACAACTCATTTTAAAATTTAGTAGATAATTTTGTTGAAACTTAAAAATTTTAATAAAAAATAAAATAATATATTTTATAAATTAAATTTATTATTCAGTTAAAGACTTGGTTCAATTAGTCGTTCTAAGTTAATTGTCATAGTTAAGGACACATTATTACATAATAATGACCCAATTTATTTTTATCATTAACTTACAAATAAAAGTTATATAACCATAACTTCTATAAATAAGACATGTCATTTTGCTCAAAAAGAAGGTAGTTCCTCCATATCCTTCTACTTTCTTACTTTACCCTATCTTCAAAATATTTTTGGTAAAAAGGGATGTTTTGTGTTAAGTGACTCTATAAGTAGTGCAGATTCATAGAGTGTTATTGTAAAGCTGTAGTATTTTGGGGGCGATATGTTATGTATATCTCTGTTGTATTGATTGATCTACTTTCTGCAGAGTCATAAATTGCCTTAAAATAAATAAGTTTTTCACGCCTAATTTGATGATATTTTTCTTATCGATATTTCTTGATAAATTCACTAATTATTATTTTATTTAATTTTGTAACCAAGAAACAACAATGACATAATATGGAGATGAAGAAGAATATTCAAGGAATAACAAATTTTGTATAATCAGAAGAGAAGATTAGCCTAGCCAAAATAAGAAAAAGAATACATTTGATAATATATTCGTATAAGGGAAATGATTCATGTGTTATACCTATGATTTTGATGATTACAAAATACATTTAAGTGATTAATTGGTTCATTTAAGTGTATAGTTAAATTGTCAAAAGATTGCAAATTAAGGAAACTTAAACTGCATTAAAAATGGACGAAAAGGCTAGAAATGTGCAGAGAGCTGGCTGAGAGAGATGGCTTAAGAAAATTTGCAACCGGCTCTAAAGAGGTAAAATTGTAGAGAGCCAGCTCTACGGATGAATTTCAAGTCCATCTTTGACGCGCACGAAAAATAGACGCAAAGACGGCTCTAACTTTGCAGCCAACTGTGTTGGTGCATTGATTGCAAAAGAGGTGGAAATTTTTGGAATTCCAATTCACTCTCCCTCTTGGAGTATGTTGAGTCAACATCATGCACACCATGAATCAACACCCAGCTCATCACACAAGCATTTTAAATGAAAAAAATAATATTTTATTTTGATATATGCTTATTCTAACTTATTTTGAATAGTCTGAAAACTTGTTTTCTCAAATGTAGTAAATGTCCTTGTCTTCTTTCATGCTTGCTCTACTTCTTTAGCTAGTCATCTTCCTAAACTCATCCTCTTCACCATTCCTCCTGTTATGCCAGCATAGTTAATGGTGGGGTACTGTTCATCTTCTCCAATTTTCTATTTATTAAAGTTAAAATTAAGAGATTAAAGTTAATTATTTGGGTTTTTTCTAGGCACAGAAGGGACAATTTTCTTATTCTTCATAAATGTAAGGGTTAAATTTAACAAATAGTCAGAAATCCTTTCTCTTTCTCAGATCTATCTCATCTCCAACACAAGAACAAAAATAAGAAAAATCCATGACTTTTTTTTTTTTTTTCAAATCTTAGTTGGAGATCTAGCTTGATATTGCCAATCTGTAGAATATGAGAGGGATTCAACCAAGCATTTAGAAGAACATAGCAAGTACAAGCAAAAAGATGGAAAAAAAAAAATTCATTTGAAACCCATAAAATTCAAGACTACTTTTCCTATTTTCAATTGCATAATAAATCCTTCGTCTCTCAGGGTTAGTGAATCTCAAATCCCTTTACCTCAACATTCCAACAATGTGGATCATTGTGGGGGAAGAAATTGAAATGGTGGTGCTAGTTTCGGTGTTGCTTCAAAGGAAGGAGGTTGCAGTGATGGGAAAACGAGGGGCTTTTCGTGGGAGGGAGAGGGATTAGGTAGTCTGGTGTTTTTAGGTTCCAAGAGTTTAGATCCAAGTGCTGGCTGGAGAAAAAAAAAAAAAGAAAATTTTTAGATTAGATAAAAAAGAAAAAAAAAAAAGAAGCTAGATCTAAATGGGATGAAATCCATGGTTACTAGTGGGTGATGAGTACCCAAACTGTGTGATGGGTACCCAAATTTTCTGGATTCTTTGCTATGGAGAAGCAAGGGGAATAGATGGAGTGGTAGGAAGAGAAAGAATGAGAACGAATGAGAATGAAGGAAGAGAAAGGAAGGAGAAGGGAGGAAGAAGCGAGGAAAAGCAGTGGCCAACGGTGGTGATGGTGTCGTGCCAGCACCGGTGCTAGAGAAGACATGGAAACAGTGAACAATCAAAGAAGGGAGAAGGGGTTCAGTTATTGTGTGTTTGGGATAAAAAATAGAGTATGGTTGACTACAAGGATAAGTTATTCAACACTTGTTCTTAATTAGACTAGAAATATATATTTAAAAGGGGCTAACCCATCATGTGTTGACCCGATGGGCCTATGAATCACTTTCTTTCTTATAAATCAATAAAAAAAAGTATTGTATAGTCTAAATTATATTAAATTATACAATATTAACCATATGAAAGTTGGACCCTTAATATGGGAGCCCTCTTTCATCTAATAATCTTTTTTTTTACAATATATGATATACTCTAAACTATAAAACAATATTTCTAAATAAAAACACCAAAAAATAGACTTACATTTTGGCAGATATATAAGCATGTGCAAATACTTTATGAGCATCATCAAAAAGAAAACCCCTAAAGAATAATGAACATTACATAAGCATTTCAGGCAGTTCATTGTAACAAAAGAAATATTAATACCTAAGGTTGGGCTGTTGTAGGCCTCTGAAAAGAAAAATAGATTTCTTGAGCATTGAATTTTATATACTAATGTATGAAGCATCGGCATCATAAGTCAATTCAGGGTCATATACTCATATACCATCCAAAAAAGTTACTAGGCAATATTACTTGAATAAGGAAACTTCAGATAATTCATAGAAGATCAAAGAAAATTAACCTCTGTTTAATCGTCTTGAGAACAACTCCATCCAAAGAAACAGCCAAAAATGGCTATCAACTTGGTAAACGGAAGGAGTGTAGCCTTCCTACTTAACAGCTGCCTTCTCATCCATACACCTCTTTCTCATCAGAATATCATATATCCCACCCTCTGGCTTCTGATCTTTAACTTCATCTAACCCCAATGCTTCCTTTCAAAACTGCCTTATTCCTGTTATCACGAGACAAAAGCTTCATTATTTAAGCTAAGTATGACAAGGCTCGAGCCCGAATACCAGCATTTGAGTCCCAACATCACTTAGCCAAAGCCTCTAAACACCTTAAATCCCTGAGAGCTTCCTACTTCGCCACCTTTATCCATCCCCAGTGGATCATCCATTGAACTCATCAGAGCTGCGATAAGATCTACAGCTAACAGCCTAAGATTAGCCTTTCCCTTCAGTTATCTCCACAATATACTCGCATGTTTGATCACATCTGTCATGTGCATCTTGTACTAACAAGCACGCTAGATATTCTCTCCCCTAGTGCAGCTCAATGGAATCTAATATCATGGGAAAATTAGGTATGTGGGTTTAAATATAAGATTTGTATTATCCTAAAACTAATTAGTAGTAGGTAGAATAGTATTTTTTTCATTTAATTCACATTTTTCTTAATGTTTTTCCTGTGAGATTTTCCCATTTAACAGATCCTTGAGAAGGTTTCCTCCATGGCTGCGGCTGCTCTTCTGCTACCCACTTCGCATTCTGTTCGTGGCTTCAAATTCAAATCTTCCATTGAAAATGATCTTCGCTTAAATTCGTTGAATTTTTTTGGCATTCTCCGCTTGAAATATACCGTCTCATTTTTTAGTAGTATTATAGTTTTAAAACCAGAAAAATCCACGAATGAGTCAAATAAGACATGAAATTTTCTATCTTTATTACTAGTATTACTAAGTAAAACACAATGAAAATTGATTACAAACAAGATAATGTAGAACTTTTCAGGGGCATACAAACTAATAACATGCCCTAAACTTTTTTTTTTTCTTTTCATTTTAGATTATATAATGAGGGACACCCTCTATATTTCCTTTTCCATTCCACCTACGGTCTACAACTCAAATTTATTATTAAATTGCTTTGATTGTTTGCTCCTGCCGTATGAAAGCAAAAACTTCTACCCACAAATCATTTCCTAAAGGTGGAGTTCCCATGAAGTTCTCTTTCAAACCCAAAATTCCCCTATATACATTCCTCGCAAAAGACTCATTTCTTGAATACTTGCTTCATTATCTGTTATTAAA